CACCAGGAGAAGCTGCTCATCAGAAAGGCTCAGCTGGCCTTTTAAAACGCAGCTCAGATTCAGCTTCAGAGATGGTTAAGTGTGGCTTATCACAGTGGGATCTTGAAGTGATGGCAATTCATATCCTGTGCACAAGTGGGATTTAAGATTCTGCAGTCCTTTCGATGCATTCCCGGGCAAGGATGCAGGGCGTTAGAGGCGAGCAGTGCAGGAAGCAGCTTTCAGCTACCTATTAACACGTGACAGCTTTGAAACATTCAAGATCCTCTGCCCACTATCCACATTACTCAGCTGTCAAAGGAAAGGCCTCAGATTTATGATGTGAAAATTACATTTTAACGAGGTGTCATATGTGTTTAAAGTTCTTATTCATCACCATACTGCCACATCTTTTACCCAAGACACAAATGCACTTAATTAGCATATTATGAGGACAGAGGGTTCACCTTATCTGCATTATAAAACTGCTTCAGGAAGAAAAAAACACAAAACAGCCCAAACATTCTTATCGAATAAAATGGTTGCAATGACACGTCAAGAGAGCATCCCACAATACTTGACAAAATGTGGAAGATAAAATTTTGACATGCACCCTCTGAGGCTTGTAAATTATCACAGATATCGACAGAATCTTTGTATCACATTTGGTTATCAGAATGGCAGTCCACAGTGTTAATATGCAACCTATGGAAGCCACTTAAGAGGAATGAGGCTGTACTAGAAGTCCTACATATCATACCACTGTCTTCCTTATGTATTAGGCATATTTATTTATTAACTTCATACACCTATGAAACACCCCATATGGTAATGTTTGGGTCTCCTGGACATAATTTAAAATATCTTCTCATAAATAGGAGGTCTGTATTTCCCACGTTACTGGGAACAGCTGTCAGGACATTCAAGTCCCAGATACTCACAGAGGGATTCTCAACCTGGTTCAAGTTCTTCTCTGGGCTTCCTCACTGCCAAGCTATGGGACAGGCTCCAGTTCCCACCTAAGCACCTAAACTCTCAGCCAGCACATCCCAAGCTCCAGTAAGAGCACTGCCAACACTGGCACGGGGTACCCCAGTCATTTAAAGACAAAACTTCTGGTCTCTCTGCGGCCCAGAAACCCCTACCTGATGCCCAGGTAGGAGCCAGAACAGCTCAGGGAGGTGCAGAGACATACAACTGTGAGATGTGCATTTGTATGCAGCACAGCACTGGGAAGCAGGATGGGAGCACTTTCCCTTTTTGGAGAGGAGGGCATGTTGATATTTTCTTGAATTTATTTGCACAGAATGTATCACAAGTGGGTGATGATTAAAACAGGTAACACTGGTGCATATTAAGATTGATTAGATTGCAGAAAATTTTCATATTGTCAATACAGCCTTCTGTTTCCCTCTCTGCATATGTCTAGTAGGACACATAAAATAACCTGAACACTATTCTGGGTTTAACTTCTTGAAGAATGCGATGAGATGCAGAGATATTTTTACTATCACTTCAAATTAGCAAACTCAATACCAGCTACAAAGAAATAACCCAAAAACTCAGGAGGAGTTATGAAGAAGCATCCTCCAAAAAGCTCATTTTAAGGCCAAACAGCTCAAAGAAAATACACTTCAAAGGTTTTTGGTATCTTTAAGTTCAGTTCTTGAGGGTAGACATTAATGATCTGTTTCTCGGGACTTGAAGGCACTGAGCAGTGTTTGCTTTCAAAAACACATTTGGGATAAAAGAAAAAACAACCCCAGACAAAAGGAAAAAAACCATAGTGGGATAAATCCTTAAAATGCAGCTTTTCCCGTTTCTGAGAATAACAAACAACTAGGTTTAATTCCATTAAGTGCCTTGAATTGCTTCTAGGTCAGTTAAACTCAACTTTTAACACTTCAAAATCTTTTGTCTTCCCTGGTAACTTCAACTGCTACAGAAGATGAACACAGAAACTCTAGGGTTTGATACTCATTTACTCTGAGAAGTAAAAGCCCATTTTTTTAAACAGTGGGTGAGAGATGCTCTACAACACTGAAGATCTCAAATATGTTCCAAACCTATATGCACACCTCTTTAATTAAAAATCACAGAAAATGTTTAGACAGGGATGTGATCCCTGCTTTTTCTATAAACTATTCAACTCCTGCCTACTCTCATTTTCTCTGGAGAATTTGGTAAAAGACTGAAAAGTGGAGTCCCCAGAACCTGTTTTTTATTTTAGATATCTCTGAAATGTAGGATACCGGTGATTTCAATACGTTTCCAATATGTTACTGACTATTTAAGTAGTTAAATACATCACTTTTCTTGTTACGACCAATTTTTGGGTTTAAGAGCTCTTCTAAAACTTCAGTCTTAATTGTTTTTTAACAACCCATATGTTCAACCCATCAATTTTACAATCCTTTTTTTTATTTTCTAATTAAGCAGATATTGTTTACATATTTTGCTACTCAAACTGTAACCCTATGGAAAATGGCTGCATTGAACACTGCTCTAATATGGAGAGAAACACTGATGATTTTCAACACGAAGAAGGGAAACACATATCCACAATCCACCCTGTAAAAAAATTAATATCTAAAACCCAAATACAAATATCCTCAGTTTTCACTGCTTTCCCAGTGTCCTATTGGCTCCTGTTCTGCTCTTTGGTGGAGGAACTGGGCTCAAGCCAATTATATATTTAGTGTTACATGTAAAGCGATGCAGCATGAAATTTGGTGCTGGCCAGAAAATGGGTTGCATTGAATTTGGAAGAGAAAGCATCACGCAGACCTGGTCTCCTGGCTCCTCTCTGCAGAAAAAAACCCGGTGTCAAGTAAGTGTTTGCTCACCTGTTCAGTTCAAAAATCAGTGCTTCTGCTTGACTGACTCATAAAATAATGCTCTCACTAATCAGGCTATGTGGGTAATGGAGCACTAAACTCCCTTTACAAAGTTATTTTTCTTCGCTTTGAAATGCCTTGGCCCATTCAAATTGACTCATCGAAAAATTCAGTTGCTATCAGAGCAGTTCACTCAAAAGTCTTCTAAACCCATAAAATAGTGAGGTAATGGAATCCTTATGGATATCTGCCAAAAAGGAAACCCCGACAATTTTCAGAGAAGAGAAACGCATGTAAAATTCAGCCTCATGTCCACATTACAAAGCTATCAAAAAGATTCCCTGACACCAGATTAACCCTCTCATGCCCACCAGCCAAACCTAAAAACTGCTTCAGCTATCTAAAGCACTGCAGGATTTTAATTTCTCATCCAAACAAGAGTGAAACAAGGACAAATCAAACCCTTGCACCTCACAGACTTTCAGTTCCCTGCAAGGTTTCACTTGCTGTCTCATCTCACCAGCTTAGACTGTGAAAAAAGGAGAACAATTTCCTTTTTATTTTAGGAAAGTAAAAAATTTAGGTTTTTCACTGATTACAGCTTTTTTTTTTTTATTAAAGATACTATTACTGACAACAGTCACCAAATGAATAAGCGGCAGCAGAGAGTCCTTTATAATACCTGGAAATAATTCACTCAAAAGGAAAGCCTGTGAAATAGAAGGGATACAATTGATTTTCACTCCTTGGGGATAACCAATAGCTCACAAATTACTCTGCTTCACTCTAACACTCAGAAAGTACATGCTGATCATTAGGTTGGGAGAATGAGAAGTATTACTTCATTTTTTGCTCATCTGAGATTTTGCAGAGGTTAACATCATCAAAAATATCTCTACTCCTGGCTTAACAGTCATTCAATTTTTGTTCATCTGCCTCTTCAAGATTTTCTTCTCCCCTTCCTTTCATTTTTGTATAAAAATGAGAATTTCATTGCCATTTTAAGACTTTTATTCCAACCCTTCCCAGATTTTCATATCCACAATTTCTGTCAGCATTTCTTGACCCATTTTTATTACATGGCTGCACACAGTAAAAAAAAAAAAAGAAATGCTCAGCAACAGAAACCTTTTGACTTCTCTTTTGCAATCTGAAGCCCTGAATCCACTTACCCACTTTGAAGTTTCTTACTTACAAAAAGAAATGTTTTAGAAATAGCCATGTTATGAATCAAATACTTTACTGTCCAAATTATATTAATTATGTCTTTCTTCTTACTTTTTCAGCCTTTCAAAATACACAGTCCACCACAGGAACTACCTGAGAACTATGACTAAATCACATACAGAAGCAACCATTTGAAAATGACTGAGCAAACACTGTTTGTTACATCACAGTCTAAGGTTAAGTCATGTTACTAATGAAGTGGCAACTTTATACTTGCAAAATGATTAAGAAGTTAATAAAGTTAAGGGAATATAAGTAAGTAATTACCAGCACAATGTCTAAGAGGGGAAAAAAGGTGGAAAAGCTGGGAAACCTCTGGGGGCCAGATGTTTCTCTGAGAGAAAGTACAGTAAGTCATAGTAAATAATGAAATGCTTTAAAAAAAACGCAGAGCAACTTTACAGAAAATAAACTAAGAACCTGTAGGATTTTAGTGCTGATTCCCCTCCTGACTCTAGACATACACTTGTGAGTGCATGCTCACATATGCAATTAGGCTCAGGTTCTCTAAACAGACAGAACTCTCCCAGCTTAATGAAACAAAGTAATTTAAACTGGCAGGCAGTTTTCCTCCAGCTGTTTGCAGTGACAGCATCTTTTACACTTTTTTTTTGGCTGAAATTCCTGCAGAAGGGAAAACAATTTGATGATGTAGGAAAGAAAATTCAAGTCAGGAGAAAAGATTGATACCCCTTGTGATGCGAATAAAAGCATGGGCATTTGGAAACTGTTTCAGGCAAGTTATGTGTAGCATATGCCTTTGTCCACTTGATTTCAACTAAGACCAACAAAAATATTCTGCACGTCTTTATAACCATCATAGGTTCTGTGGTGAGGGTTAATTTACAGAAACTCAGGCAGATCAGTAAGACAGGAATGTACTTCAGTTTTACACCCTATTTGCAAAAAAAACCAGAAAGCCCGATTTAGAATTTGTTTTGGCGTTAAAACCCTTACCTGCTCTGCTGTCAAGCGGGCCAAAATCCAAGGAGTATTTTACAACATGGTAGTTGTTCCATACATAAAGGAGGTTGTCCCGGGGATTATAATCCACAGCAGCAATGTACTGGTAGGAGTTTGGAAAGGGCACGTCCACCATGCTATCCTTACTTTGGTCAGTGTTATATATGTAGTCTATTTTATTCCCTGTGGCTTCATTGTCGTCATCTTCATACACAGACTTCACCACATATAAAATCCCACAGATCATGAAGGCATTAGAAGCTGACCTCTTGTCATAGGCAGTATCCCACGTTCCTTCGATCCTTAACGTGTAAGGGTTTAACTGGCTAATGACTATTTTGCCATTATTTTGTTCTGTTGCATAGATTACCCACAGCCCGTTCTCATCCACAGCCAGGTCTATGTCAGACTTGCCTCCCCAGCGGTAGGGAGAGGTGTCATGGTAGTTTGCATTCGCTATGATGGCCTCCCCGCTCTTTATCCTTGTCCGCAAGTCAAACTTGACAATGTTCCTGGTTCGCTCCTTGTTGAAGAACAAAGCCCCGTCGTACACCACGAACCCCGTGCCGTCCACCCGGTGCGGGAGTTTGTAGGTCGTGGTTGGCCTCCCGGCAATGAAGTCGTCCTTGGAGGAGTACTCCGTCAGTGTGTCTGTCCGGTAAGGCGTCCAGGGCATGTAGTAGATCTTGTCAGATGCCTGCAGAGGGTCCTTGCACCAGGCACCAGACTGGTGGTCAGATTCAAATAAGTGTTCACTCTGGTACACTCCTTTCAGCAGTCCGGGGCAAAGAAAAACTGTTTTAGGGGAAAAGAATTTAAAAGAAAAACAAAGTTAACGACAGTTCAGGGGTGGTTGGCCCAAGCATCTCAAAAGCTTCTAGTCCTGGAGTAGAGGACACTTGAGATCAGTGGAAACCCAAGAGCAATGCCTTGTACGTGGAGACTAGCCTTCCTGCCCTCCATGTCTCTAGAACAAGATTTGCTCCATCAAACTGACTTCCGCCCCTGCTTTTTCTATTAACTGTGGCTTGTTTTCTCATTGCTTTTCAAATCTATTTTTACAGGTGTACTTACTCGGACCACTCGCCTTTGTAAACTCTGAAATGAATATGTGCCCCCAAAGGATTTCTGGGTTTGTATTTCCAAATTATATTCTGCAGTGAATCTGTACCTACTGGGTGAAGGGCTAAACTCCGAGGGAATTGATCCACATATTTATTTGAACAGCCCACAGAAGAGTGGCCTAGAAATGGAAATTCCCATCCTTACAGCCCAAGTGAGATTAAATATTTAAAGGGTACCAATAGCAAAGCAGAGGCGAATCCCTAGGCTACTCAGAGGAGCGTTTAAAGCGAAGGGAGCTGGGGGGGGGAAACAACCATCTGTAGTATAACTAGAAATGAGACTTTCAAAGCTGCTACAGGACACATGAAACATGCAGTCCACACAATTAAAAACGAATGACATATGGATGCTGAAAGGAAAAGACAAGGAAGGAAGGAAGAAAGGAAAGAAGGAAGGAAAAGAATAAAGTTCGCTGGAGAGGAACCCAAGGTCTAGATTTTAATCAGTTAAAAAATGTCCTGTTAAATATAGTAGTAATTCAAACTTAAAAACATATACCTTCTATTGTTACATGAAAGGAGCACAGAGGAGCAGTTTGACTAACTGGGATGCTTTGCTGCTCAGACTTCGGGGGGGCTGAGAGGGGCCAGGGCATGCCCAACACCTGGGAGGAGGCTCAGCCGGTGCCCGGCTGACCTCGGCACCACAGGAACGCCAACACCAAGAGGCCAGCCGGCTGGATGGGGAGGCAAAAGGAGGGATGCTGCAGAGCAAAACCAGCTCATTTGGCCCTCGTCATCCCCGTTAGCAGCCTCCTGACTCAGAGGTGTGTGTGCAGCTTTGGGGGGAGAATATATGCTGGTTATTTGTAATGCTGATCTCCGTGAGTGTGAATGGTACCATAACCATGACGATAGGATGGGCAGCAGGGAAGCATGAAGAGGTATCCCACCACGTACTTCTGCTAGCATGGGGATGGCAAGATGGGATCCCACATTCACACTTCCTGCTCAGAGTGTAATTAATTGTTTTTGTAAATGCAGAAATTGGGATGTTGTCTGGAGAAAAAGATAGGAGGAAAATCAGATTTAGTAACTGGTATAAAATTGTATAGAGCCATTGGAGTCTAAGTAACCACAGAGAGTTGCTGTTAAAGAGGTGCCATTTCCAAGAGGCTTTTATGCCATAATTAGATATACTTATGCACATACGCACATATGCACACTTTCCAAATTCTTTGGGGCAGGAGAAGAGTGAGTTATCTAAGCCTTTGAATAGAAATTTAATGAAAAAAAGTGGCAGTGGTAAAAAACCTTTCAGCAAAAATGAGTTATCCGGTGAAGTTGAGCAGCAGAGATACTAAATAAACTTTAACAAAAAGGTAGTGAGAATTAATGACAAAGTATTTCAACTAAAACGTTAAACTGTTAAATAACTTAGCCTATACATAAGTAATATATATATATAATTTGAAAGGTATTTAATTACCTTTTTGTTCCACTTCTATTGTAGAGAGAGAGGTAAAGAGAGAAAGGAGAAAAGAGAATAGATTAATGGTACTGTATTGGCCAGGTATTTTTCTTTACCTCTTTCATATGAAAAGGAAGCTTCATTAATTTACTTTAGTATGTGAACATTTTATATATATATATATATATAAACCTTTCCTCTGATATACACTGGATAATATGCAGACAAGGTGAACATAATACAGATTAATTTTAACTTTAGAAAAATCTTTAAGAAGAAAAAAAAAAGCTCAACACTTGGGACATAATGAGCCCCCTGAACTATTTGAGATATCTTGTCAGCAGCAACCTTGGACTAGTTTCATAGAGCAAAATGAAATACCCATAAACTGAAATATGACTGATACAGATTTATGTATAGAATAAAAATTCCAGGGAGAAACTTTATAGAATATATATCTTCATATATTTCACCAAAGTCCTGTAAAACAGAGATCCCTACATAAAGCAGGAGAATATTTGCTTGTGACATAAAAAGAGAACTTAGGAGAGTCAAATGAAGCACGTCGGTGGATATTCGTAGTCCTGACCTATATCCTTGGAGAAACAAACTTTAGTAAGACTTGGAAAAAAAAAAAAACAACCACTTGAAATATTGTAATATTTATATGATTTATAAGATCCCAAAGATTTAAAGTGTTGATAAGTTAAAAATATCTAAGCACTATTTAAAAAGCCCAACCCCAGAACTTGTTGGATATTTTTTTTGTGAATTATTCACCATGCTTCATAATGCTGCTGAAGAGGCTGTGTCCCTTTGGACAAAGCCCCTTGCAGGCAGAATAAATAAATGCAGTGCACTTATTAATTGCTAAACGCTCAGTACTAGTTTCTGTACCAAGCAACCTCCTCTGAGAAGCTTTTGGGGGGCCTTATCCAAAAGCTTCCTGCAGTTGTGGCACAGGCCCTGTCTTTTACAGCGTGGTGGGGACCCAAACAGCTCCTGCAACCCCAGACCTGGCGTTCGCTGGTTCCTCAGGGCGTCTTCCCTGAAAGGGTAGCAGAAGACAAGCCCCAAAATATCAGAGGGAGAAGTGAGAACTTTCCAGCAAAGCAGTATGTTTTTGACAGCTGAGAGATCTCTGTTCAGAGAAGCAAGACAAGAATGCAAAGGTATGCACATGTGCTTTGGTTTTGCTTCCTCAGAGTTCACTCCAGCCCCCTCCGGGCTGTCCTCTGGTGCTGGGATTGCAAAGCCCTTTGCATTCATAAGTCTCATTTATTTGGATGGGAAACTGCAGGCTCAATGGAAGAACGATTCCAGGGTAGGGCTACAAATGCACTGGCCAGACACGTGGATCTACACTTCCCCATGCAGGGAGGCATACAGCTGGAGCCAAATGCAGCTCCTATAATGAGTATTTCCAAACTTCAACAGCCTTTATTACTGGGGCTTTGATTCAGGCTCCTTTCTACTTCATAACAGGTTAGGGTTAAAGGCAAATGTTTTCAGCATGTGGCTGTCAGGGCTCTGGGGAACAGAAACAATGCATTTGAGTGCAAGCACCTGATTTTGCAAAGGAAAGAGCCAGCAAGATTAAAAGCCTCCAGACTTAGCAATTGGAGAAACCTGCACAGCAATTGTACTCCCCATCCCAGGCTGTGGCTGGTCACAGTTAAGTAAGGTATTCAGAAAAACATTAAATGTCTCTGGCAAAAGCAAGAAGGCAACATGACATATCCTCAAATGCATGGCTTCATGCTGATTCTTCTGGATGATGGTATACAGTACCTCTGGCAGCAAAGAAAGTAGTAATTTACATTTCCAAATGAGCAAAAGCTTTTGTAATGCACTTGAACAACAGTGTGATATTGTAAAGCAGGGAGAGAGAGGCTTCTAGAGGAGATAATATATTTGCAACCAGCCGCTCTGGGTGACCTGAAGTGTTGATTACCCTTATCCTGAATAGCTCATATGTGTTATTAGTGGTCAGTGCCATATCCAGTTCTCTTATAATTCCAAACACAGATGTGTTTTGCTGACCTTCTGCATGCTGTTTCCATTGTATGCATCACAAATACGTATTTTCCATCTGCTGATTTAAGACTTAATGCTTTTGAATGTCAGTAATTACTCAGCTTATATTGGGGTGCCATATACTTTAAAGAGGTTGCATGAGAGGCTCGAAGGATTTACTTCATCGAGCAATACTAAAAAGAAAGGGTCTAATTAGAATCTGATTATCCCTTCAGTTACACAACATACCACTGCAAAACTGTCTTCATAAAATACTAGTAGAATTTTTTTAATTTCACCTGATTAGACATTTTTTACATCTCTGTAATGCCTGTGCCAGTCCACAGAATTTAAGTACTGCTTATAGCACAGAGGCCACCTTACCTTCCTACAGGGATCTACAGAAAAAGCAGGCATACACAGCTTTTACTCTTATAGTGAGATCTTCCATTCCTGCTATCTCTGCATTGGAGGAGAACAAGGGTATTTCTCCTCTAATTCATATGCTGGTTGCAGGCCAGTGCCATTGGCTTCAACAGTGCCAGAGGCCTGAAGGAAATCAAAGAACCACTTGCCAGGTCTGAGGGAAGTTACAAACAAGACTTTCCATGTACAGTGATTTTCTCATGTTTCTTCAGATGGAAGTAAAACCGAGGACAATGTGCAATCACGGGCCACCACAGCCTGTCCCCAAGCTATCAGGCAAACTCCTGCCACCCATTCAGAGAAATTGCACAAAAACATTAATTAAATGTTCTTAGCACTGCTGGGTTGAGATTCTGAAAACACACTGTGGCACAATTAACACTTGAACAACATTAACTGCTCATTTTCTTACCACCACATTGAACTGCACTCAAAATTTAAGGCACAAGCACGCAGTGGCAGAGCCGTATAGAGAGCTTTCTCCCTGGCACTGCTTCAAACCCACACAAAAGCAGCACAAAACTCCTGGAAAAAAAATTATGTGAGTAGGGGGATGTTAAAAGGCAATTACAAAAGTGAGCAAAAAGTTGTGCCCCGTACTTTGGTAGCTGTTTGTTTTAGGTTTTTTTTTTCAGGGCAGATGTTTAATAGCAGAATAAGTGACGTCCACTCCTTGTTCCTGTCCTTTACATATCAGCCTGATTTAATACACTCAGATTAATAATTAATAGATTTAGTGTTAAACACATAGTTAATGACAAAATAGGAGTAAAAAACTCAGGTTTTTGAGGCTGACCTTAGTAGCACAAGATGCAGCATCTCAGCCATGTCCAGGGTGCTTCACGCCAGACGTGGCTGACTGCTGCATCTCACACCCACCAACCAACTTGACCTGATGCGTAGGTATGTGAAGCTGAAAAGCAGTCATCACACTAGGAAACAAATTAGGGAGAAACATCCCCAGAAGGCCTGATCCCGACACATGACCCATGGTGCAAGATGGTAACCATCACATAGATGACTCACCACTTGGCCCTGAGCCCTGCTGCGCTGGACTTGAGCACTGCAGCTCTCTCTAACTATCAAAATCAAGTCTCGAAGGTGCCTTGCACCTGGGCTTCCCAGGGTGGTCTGGGATCTACAGCCTCTTCTTTCTTTCTCTAATTCTCAACACCTCAAGCATCCACAATTCTTTCAACCTTTGACATGAGGGCTTCCCTACAGCACCCACAGAAGGATTTCCCAATTTACATGTTTCTCCCTAACACACAGCCCTATCTGTGGGTTTTAGGCTGAACAGGAACACATTTGAGAAGCTGCAAATCTAGCGAGGCACCCCAAAGCATGCCCATGTAGAGCCTGCTCACATATGAAGGCGCTCTTCTTTTTCGAAGACATGGCTGGGTCTTGGAGTCACAGTGTTCCCCTACTAAAAGGTTAAAGTAAACAAGAGACATGCTCAAAATTTAGGACATCAAGGCATGCATTGATAACAGACTTCCTTTTACCTATCAAAATAGCAAGGCAGTAGTATAGACAACTAGGCAACATGAGATTCACAGCACATCCAGCATGGCAGATCACTGACCACAGGACCCTATAGTCAGTGACAGAGAAACTCTGCCCTCTAGGTTGTAGGAAAATCTGCTGTTGGGTAGGATGTATTTCCAGTCACACTGATAGTAACAGGGTCCAGTAAAACACAGTCCTGAGCAGTTTCTCTTCCTAACGTCCAAAATTTACCAAAGTGGTTGAGGTTCCTGAGGAAATGCAGCAGTTGACAGATCAGAGGCAACTTGAGAGTAAGGAACAGATACTGCAGGAGGGTTATCAGCTTCTCACTCATCCGTCTAGTTCCTCATACCAGCATCCAGCCAGCAAGGCTGAAGAGGACCACACCTGTACGCATTTCAAACCCGTTGTGCTCTACTGTTGGGAAGCACAAGTGGTACATAGGTAAATCTCAGTGGGGAAACACAGTTGGAGAAAAGCTGGACTCTGCAGCAGCAGATCTAAAATAAATATATCTAAACCTAGGGAATTAAAATCTTAGAATCGTGCAATGGTTTCAGTTGGAAGAGACCTTAAAGATCATCCAGTTCTAACCACCCAGCCACGGGCAGGGACACCTTCCACTAGATCAGGTTGCTCACAGCCTCATTAAAATATGAAAATACTTGTTTTTAAAAAATTAATTTCAAAAATTAATTCCAAACACACTCAAACCCTCACACACAGTTTACCACAAGAAAAGCTGAGAGAGCTAGCTCGGCATTTATATGACATGTTCTGGCAACCTAAAGTTCAAAATGCTGCAGAAGTATCTGCCTCTGCTTCTTTTTCTTCTCCCCACACATAATTAAAATGACAAAAGAGACCACATAGCCAAATTCAGCATTCACTCTATGGAGCACAGACACAAAACAAAATACATGTCACCATTTCTCTCATCCACCCTCTCCTTCTAGTAAAGCCTGGGGTCCCCCTGTAGTGCAGGTGGGTGGTCCACCAGACCCCAAATGTCTTAATAATGGGAACACAGTCACATCCACTGCAGCAGACTGTGTCAGTAGAAGGTCAGATGATATTTT